ATCTGTGACAAGACTGCCACTATGTTTTTAGAGAGAGAGAGAGAGAGAGAGAGAGAGAGAGAGATGTTATATGCATTATAATATATTGCTGCTTTACAATTTTCATCATCAGGACATTCATAGGAGACCCAGTTCCCTATAACTCTGACACTAGTGCCGAGGTGCTTGCTTCTGAGGTGAGTGTGATTGCTACAGATTGTCACATTGTATTCTAGACCTGGGGCTCGTTGTCAGAAACAAAGTTAGTCTTACCATTAACTTTGACACATAACTGAAACATTTAACACACGCTGACAGAAACATCGTAATGTTATACGAGAATGCAAAATCCTAGCAAGTGTTCCAGTATTCCATAAGACTGTAAGAGATCCCAGACCATTTCGTAAAGAATGCAATTACACAAAGAACTGAAATTATAGTGATATTATATTTTATATTCGTTAGTTAAACCTATGTTTTTCATCAAAAACACGTCAGAAACAATTATTATCTACCGTTCATGTACCAAAACAAACATTTACAAGAAGTGATTGTTTTCGATAATTTGGTAAGTCATGATGCTCGCGTCTTGGTGCTGTGCGGAATAGAGACAAGATCGTGTCGTTTTTTATCGGGTATTATTTCTATGTGATTAACTATCATAATTTGCATAAATCGATTCCTGACCAATCAGCAGCCCCGTGACGGCAAATTATCAAGTTTTGTTATCGTGAGTTCTATTGTAGCCGTGATGCGTTTCTGTCAACACTATTCTTGTAATATTAACATTGGTTGTAAGTGCGATATTAGCATTAACATTAGCCTGTGAGTTTTACTGAAGTGGAAATTTGGGCTTTCATTATGTTTGCTATCTGCTACAACCTGCCGATTGGTGCTGCCAGTAGTCACTGGATGCTCTCACTTCTAGCAGCCGATTGTTGAGGCAAACATATGTACATTTATACATTTCACATCATAGAATGTGCTGCGATATTTGCTTTGAAATAGCTAAATACTGAATACTGCACCAGTTTTTTTACTATTTCCACTGCAGTTCCAATGTAAAAGTCACCTATACATAAAACATAAACAACAAGCCATACCATAAATTTAAACAAAAAGTCAAGGCACGCTTTTTTTCGAAACAGTAAAGTCAATGGTAGCGATGAAAGATTTTTGCCTCAAACGTTTGGAATATCGATAGGACGTTTCTATCTCTTATCTCTTTAGGACGTTTCCATCTCTTAAGTCTGGCTGAGTGGCGACGCCAATTGTCACTGTGGTAGCCTGGCGTGTAGTTCATGCAGAGTCCGACTTAATTTCCTCTACATATTTCTGGCAGTTAGTTTCTGTTAGATATCTCGTGTTCTTGAGACATTAAAATAAAGATTCCAACGACTGTCTTACTTGTTACATAATATATTATTAATATAAACTTGAATCACACAGACGCAGTTACAACACTGTCAAACAGCGTGTATCGTTTAGAGTCCCACCATAAGTCTCTTTTCCTCTACTAGTGGCGCCACCTCTTAGGCGTGCAAAGAATAAACATACTTTAACGTTTTGCAATTATCTTACATCTCCCTCCCTTACAAGATCGTACTAGAATGCATAACTATAAACGACCACCATTGAACTAAACGAACATCAGTATACTCTATTGAATTACGACCGTTATGGGAGGTCTTACACATAGTCACTAAATCGTACAGGTGGTTTCCTGTTACGTCCACACTTTCGAACTGGTTCAGGACAGTCTTCAGACGTGACATTCATTATATTGTCACTGTTGTCATTCATGACAATAGGATTGTCATCTGCACAGTCAGTCAGGGTTTCGAGTGTTAATGGTACTTCAACGGGCGACTGGATGGGTGGCAATGCAGTTACTGCCTTCTCGTAGATCTCCGGCTCTGTATCTTCATGAGTATTCGTCTCTGGAGTGATTGGTGACCATTTCGACGTTCCTGCAGTTGGTACCGTGGTTGGCGGGAATCTACGTCTCAGCATAATTCGATTTCTCACTGTCAGTAGGCCTGATGGAAGATGGATAACATACTTTCGATTCTTGAGGTTACGCTCTTGCACCACACCGTATTTATCCCATCTTATCTTATCTTATCTTATCTTATCTTATCCCATCCTATCTTCTGTTACACCTGTTCTGTACTAAGACAGGATCACCTACACTGAGGACAGGTAGGGGTTTACCAGGGTGGTATTTCTCAGCTTTCTGGCGTTCACTGGATATCAATTTATCATAGTCGGCTAGTTGTTTATGCCAGTCTTTGCTCAGGGCACTATTGTGTGCTGGAATTACTTCATTCACCCGGTGTCCATATAGGTGGACTGTAGGGGCTATCCCTGTACCCTTGTGGGGTGTATTCCTGATGGATAGCAGACCACGAGTCCACTTTTCAAAATCCACCTTACCATTCGTCACACAACTGCGTAGCAGGTGCTTTGCCTGTTTTACCGCATTTTCTGCGAACGCATTACTCTGCGAGTAATACGGGGATGAGGATATCCATCTATACTCCCCACCTCGCACAGAAGTCCTGGAACACACTTGAGGGGAATGGTGGTCCATTATCAGTGTATAGCACTTCAGGCACTGCTGTGTCAGCAAATATCAGTCTTAGCTCGTGGACCGTGGAATTAGCATCTGTTGAGCACATCTCACGAACTATGAACCAGCCAGATAGCCAGTCGGTGACTATTAGAAATGTGCGACCATCACAATCAGCAAAGTCAGCGCTTATAAATTGGAATGCTTGCTTTGGGATTGGTAGGTGCATAATCGGTTTCTTTGGCTGGCTAGGTAGGTCCTTCTCACACTGGTTACAAGACTGACAGAACTGTTCTATCATCGCATCAATGCGGGGCCAGTATCCTATGAGCCTTGCTCTAGCCTTTGTAGCTTCTCTACCTCTATGACCAGCATGAAGGCCCACCAGTGTTTGTTTTCTAAGTCTGGTAGGGATCAACAGTCTTACGCCATGCAGTATAAAACCATCATCTGAGATCGACAGGTGTTCACGTACGTTCCAGTACTCATGTAACAGTGCTAATGTAATGTAGAGTTATTAGAAGGTAGAAAGTAGAGTTTAGTTTGAGAAGATACTGGTGACACATGTATAGATGTTTGTGCTACCGCGAGCGCATGGTTGAATAATATTGCGGCATTGGCGAGCGGGTAGGACTGAAATTAGCAATAGAACATATCATTAGCCGCGAGCATTGACCGCAGATCATTACATAATGTTAGTACGACTGGCTGCACGCAGAACTAGAAATACACCGCGAACGTGCGTGTTGAACACATGTGCTAGAGGCTTCTCACGTAGGCCCATTCTATATATGGGGCTTTGCAAGGTCATTCCCCCAAAGAGATAGATACCTTTTAGTTCAGTAGAATTCCACTAGTTGCCATCATGGCAGCACAGTCCAGTGCACCATAATCTACATCATAGTGTACCATGTAGAAATAATTTAGTTAACGAATCAACGAACAGAAGAAATCAAGTGTCTGACCAATGGTCAGGCATGGGGAGGGGCTGATTTATTTGGGGTAGTATAAAATAGCATGCAGAGCGTCAGAGAAGGGAGTTCTTACAAAGTTTTACAAAGTCTTACAAGTTTTAGGAAGTTTTACAGTTTCTCAGGCAGTACTACACTAGTCTGCATTAGTCGATCTCTGAGTAGAATAAATCATCTCATCTGTTACCATAAAGACGTGTTAGCATTTCTGTGATCTCCATCGTCAACGTCTTACATTGCACGAGAGGCAGAGACAAGTCTGACGTTGTCTTCAAGCTCAGCGCAGCACGAACCGAACCGAAACGATATCGCCTATATAACACTCACTGATCGAGGCATCCAGGTCTCGCTTCCGGTCAGGAAATCCATTAAGTATTGTTTCCTTCAGTGTTTGGTACTCATTATCACGATCAGAGGCTTCTCTGATCGACTGGAGGTGAATAGGAACATCTGCTTTCTCCATGCAGGCTGTGCGGATTGCTCGTACGGTACGGAGTGTCTCTCGCTCCTCCAGGTCTGTTTTGTCTGGCTCTTTCGTTGGGTACCGAGAAAATGCATCAGCCATCAAGTTGGTTTTACCTTTGATGTATTCGACTTCCATGTCAAATTCATGTGCTTGCATTAGGCAATGTCGAAGCCTCGGGTTGGTGACTTTGTCTAGTCGTCGATTGTTCGTCATCGATACAAGGGGTTGGTGATCCGTGTACACTTTGAACCTAGGTAACCCACCAAGGAACTTAGACGCCTTTCGTAATGCCCACCAGAGTGCTTTCATCTCGGGTTCGATTGGCATATACGTCTTCTCGAGTTCAGTTAGTGTACGGCTGCCCACCATGATTGGTTTCCATTCCTGGTTTCGTTGCTTCTGTTTCAGGACAAACCCAAAACCGGACTTGCATGCTGCATCGGTGTATAACTCGACGGGCTGACCAGGCAAGTAGTATGCAAGCCTACCAGGTTGTACTAGCATTTCTTTGAATTCGTGGGATGCCTGTTTTTCATCCTCTGACATCTCAAACTTTTTGTCAGATTTTTTGAGTAGGTGTCACAGGGAGGCCAGTTTGCCTGCCAATTCTGGATCGTATGGTGTCATTTGGTTGGCTAAACCATGAAAGGATCGCATGTCTGTCATGCTTCTAGGCTCAGGAAATTCTCTGAGTGACTCTATCAGCGAAGGGCTGATGGTAAATCCATCTTTACTCACGATCACACCCACAAACTCTATCTCTTGCTTCCTGAATACAAATTTCTTTTCGTTCAGCCTAATGTTCCTCTCACGACATCGCTCCAGGAACGCATGTATCAGGTGGTCTTCATCATTCTTCCCATACACGAGGGAATCATCTACCACTCTTACGATGTTGTCTAGACCATGAAGGTATTCCGACATGTAGTGCTCTAAAATACTGTTTATTCCGAACGGCGCCCTCTCATACCTAAAACATCCAAAGGGCGTTATGAACGTAGTCAAGTCCTTTGATTCCTCTGCTATTTCGAGTTGGTGGTACCCTTTCTGGGCATCAAATTTCGTGAACAGATGCTTTTTTGGCTTGAATCTTCTGAACTGTCTCGAGGACAGATGGTGACTCGTAGACCTCGCGCTTTGAGAACTTATTCAGTGGCTTGAAGTTTACACATAGGCGGATGTCGTCCGAGTTCTTCTTTTGCTCCACCACTATAGGAAGCACCCAGTCTGTTGCTTTAGTCTGAGGTGTTATGATCCTAGCCTTTTGGAGGTGTTCTAGTTCTTTCTCTAATTTAGGCATCAGTGGGTATGACACACCATAGGATCTGGTGGCTTTGAACGGCACCGCTTTTTCTTCCAGAACAATCTTGAATTTTTCCCTCTTCACAGGGTTTTCTAAGGGACCAAAGACATCAGCAAACTCATCTATCAAGTCCTGTCGAGTTACCTGGCTTGCTGGTTTCTGGACCTGGCATGTGTCTGACCAAGTCTTCAGGTGATGCTTCGGCTTTACCGGTATCGGTGGTTTGTTAGACTTACTGACTGTGGATATCATAGCCTGTTCAGGCACCTGGACATTGTCAGGTTTCCGAGTTGTCGCAGCAGGTGGGTCTAGATTGAGCCTGACTATGCTTAGCTCGATTAGGGCATCCTTAGATAGGATTGTGCCACTAAGTCCCAGAAAGACAACAATACGTCGGGTGATAACGTTGCACCCAAAGGCAATGTTGGCTTGGAAATATCCACTTGGTTTCATTCGTACTCCACTAGCATTTACCGTAGCTTGCATGTCTGCAGTTGGTGGACATAGGTTGTGAGGGTCTTCTTTCACCGACACAAGTTCGCTTTCTGCAATGCAACACCAATCCGATCCTGTGTCAATGAGAGCCTTTACTTGGCTGTGGCCATTTTTTCCATGAATGGTGACTTTAACTAAGTCAACATTAGTGCTAATGGAGCAAATGATGCTTCCCATTAACGTCTTCTTTGGCGAGTTTCTGCACTCTTGCAAAATGGTTCGATTTACCACATGATTTGCATTTCTCCCCTTTTGCTGGACAAGTGGCTCTGTCTCGGTGTTTCGGGTAACCACACTGGTTACACATCTCAGTTTCTTTCTCTCTATCATTCCGAGAGCAGTCTCTGGACTGTGCAGTTCTTCTGCTTCTGAACCGCCTCGGTTTATTTGGGTTCCTTTCCATTTCTCTGTGGATTCGGGTCACCCCAGAACTAGCAGAAT